ACAAAACTTAAAGAATTAAACTTTAAATGTGGTCTAAATAATTTCCAAAGTTTAGTCTGTGATATAAATAGGCAATTTAAAATTTTTCTAATTTAATTTTAATCTAGTTAATGAACACTTCAGTTTGTAATAACCAAACATTTTTTTAAAAAAAGTAACCATTGAAAATTCTCATTCCCACTTCCCGATTTCAGCTCTATCCATCTCGTTCAGGTGTCTGTCAGGTTTTTGTGAGGCTCTGTACTACCATGTACAATGAGAATATATAGTTCTTATATAGTACCAAATACACATTGATCTTCACTCCCTTTTTTAACTTAACCTTGTGAGCTGCAAACTGTTGGCCAGAGAGGGATGCACACCATTCCCGTATATAGTGCACCACAGTTCCTTCTTCTTCACCTAATTTTTCAACATTAAAGCTATTTTCTGTCCTTAGCCTTTGGAAATACTTCCCAGAGTGGTGTTTCTGGGTGAAAAGGAAATCCATGTGCAGTTTTCACTAATATTGCAACGTGCTTCATACGCACTGTGCCTCTTTTCCATGCACCAGTGCTACTGAAAGATGACTCTTTCCTACACTCATACTAACACAGTATGCTTTTAAAACCTTTGGAATCTGGCCTGCCACGTAGGTTCAAAAGGCTAGGGTCAGAGGGAAGGGGAGAAGAATCTCCCCTATCAGTGGACTTGGGGTGGGGCATGGGAGGAGAAGAGGGAGGGCAGGAGGTATGGGGAGGGCCGAGGGAGGGGACTACAGCTGGGATACCAAGTGAATAAACTGTAATTAATAAACAAATATTAATTAAAAAATTGGAATGTCAGGGTACTTTTTATTTGTCTTATTACAACCTTGAGATTTTTCCTGTGTTTAATGAACATTGTATTTCTCTTATTCTAAATGCTCTTTTCCTGGCTTCAACCACTTTTCTTTTTTTGTTTCTTTGTTTGTTTGCTTGTTTATTTCTAGTAATTTATTTAATTTTATTTTATGGACATGACTATGAGGATGTTAGACACTTGGAACTGGAGTTACAGAAAGTTGTGAGCTGCCATATGGGTGCTGGGAATTGAACCCCTGTCGTTTGGAAGAGCAGGCAGTGCTCTTAACCACTGAGCCATCTCTCCAGCTCCTCAACCACTTTTCTTTTTTTTTTAATTTTTATTTTTTTAATATTAGTTACAGTTTGTTAACTTTGTATTCCAGCAGTATCCCACTCCCTCTTTTACTCCCAATTCCACCCTCCCTCCCTCATCTCCTCCCTGCCCCTTTCCAAGTCCACTGATAAGGGAGAACCTCCTCCCCTTACATCTGATACTGGTTTATCAGGTGCCTTCAGGACTGTCTGCAAAGTCCTCCTCTGTAGCCAGTAAGGCTGCTTTTCCCTGGGGGGTGTGTCAAAGAGCCCGCCATCGAGTTCATGTCAGAATCAGTCCTGTTCCCCTTGTTAGGGTAGCCACTTGGATACTGAGCTACCAAGGGCTACATCTGAGCAGGGGCTCTAAGTTGCATCCATGCATGGTGCATGGTTGGAGAAACAGTCTCATAAAAGACCCCTGTGCCCAGATATATTTGGTCCTTGTGGAACTCCTGTCCTCTCCAGGTCCTATCAACTCCCCCCTCCCTTTTGGTTCCCTGAATTCTGCCAAAGGTTTGATTATGAGCCTTAATATCTGTTTTGATACACTGCTAGGTAGAGTCTTTCAGAGGCCCTCTGTGGTAGGCTCCTGTCCTATTACTTATTTTCTCCTACATCCAATGTCCATCCCATTTGTCTTTCTAAGTGAGGATTGATCATCATACCCTGTGTCCTCTTTCTTGTTTATCTTCTTTAGGTGGATAGATTTCAGTATATTTATCCTATCTTATAGGTCTATATAAGTGAGTATATACCATGTGTGTCTTTCTGCTTTTGGGATACCTCACTCAGGATGATAGTTTCTAGATCCCACCATTTGCCTGCAAATTTCATGATTTCCTCATTTTTAATTGCTGAGTAGTATTCCATTGTAAAAGTATCACAATTTCTGTATCCATTCCTCAACTGAGGGACATCTGGGTTGATTCCAGGTTCTGGCTATTACAAATAAAGCTGTTACAAACATGGTTGAGCAAATATCCTTGTTGTGTACTTGAGCCTCTTTTGGATATATGCCTAGGAATGGTATAGCTGGATCATGAGGAAGCACTATTCCTAATTGTCTGAGAAAGCGCCAGATTGATTTCCAAAGTGGTTGTACAAGTTTGCATTCCTGCAGCAATGGAGGAGGGTTCCCCTTTCTCCACAACCTCTCCAGCATGTGTTGTAACTTGAGTTTTTGATCTTAGCCATTCTGGTGGGTGTCAGGTGAAATCTCAGGATCGTTTTGATTTGCATCTCTCTGATGGCTAATGAGGTTGAGCATTTCCTTAAGTGTTTCTCTGACATTCTCTATTCCTCTACTGAGAATTCTCTGTTTAGCTCTATACCCCATTTTTTAATCGGATTGCTTGATTTGCTGCTTTTTACCTTCTTTAGTTCTTCATATATTCTGGATATCAGCCCTCTGTCAGATGTAGGGTTGGTGAAGATCCTTTCCCAGTCTGTAGGCTGTCGTTTTGTTTTGATGACTATGTCCTTTGCTTTACAGAAGCTTTTCAGCTTCATAAGGTTCCATTTATCGATTGTTACTCTTAGAGCCTGTGCTGTTGGTGTTCTGTTCAGGAAGTTGTCTCCTGTACCAATGAGTTCTAGGGTCTTCCCCACTTTTTCTTCTAACCGATTTAATGTGTCTGGTTTTACGTTGATATCTTTGATTCACTTGGACTTTAGTTTTGTGCAGGGTGATAAGTATGGATCTATTTGCATTTTTCTGCATGTAGACATCCAGTTGGACCAGCACCATTTGTTGAAGATGCTGTCTTTTTTCCACTGAAAGGGTTTGGCTTCTTTGTCAAAAATAAAATATCTATTGCTCTGTAGTACAGCTTGAGATCAGGGATGGAGATGCCTCCAGACGATCTGTTGTTGTACAGGATCGTTTTGGAAATTCTGGGTTTTTTGTTTCTCCATATGAAGTTGATAATTTTTCTCTCAAGATCTATGATGAATTGTGTTGGTATTTTGATGGGAATTGCATTGAATCTGTAGATTGGTTTTGGCAGAATAGCCATTTTCACTATGTTAATCCTACCGATCCATGAGCTCGGGAGATCTTTCCATAAGGTCTTTGAGTTTTTCATATTGTTTCTAAACAACGTTTGTGATATAAGTTGAATATGTGCTTTTCCGGTTATTTTTCCCCTTTTTTCTTGATTCTCTTTATCTTCTCTTTTCTAAACAAGCATTACAAGCAGCCCTTGCTTTGCATAACATTGTGAAACTGTAAAAATGACCATGTAAGAAAACAATGCAAGCTATTCCTGATTAGTTTGTTGGAAAGATCTGTCAAAACATTAAAAGCAAAGGAGAGGAGAACCTCCCCTATCAGTGGACTTGGGGAGGGGCATGCATGCAGAAACGGGAGGGAGGGTGGGATGGGGAGGGGAGGAGGGAGAGGCTTATGGGGGGATACAAAATGAATAAAGTGTAATTAGTAAAAAATTTGAAAAAAGTTAAAAAAAACATTAAAAGCTCTTACTGCCACTTGTAAACATATGTAGAAATGAAAAGCAAGGAAACTACGGTCTAAAATGTATTCACTGTCTGAAACCTCGGAAATACAGAAAGTGATTTAAAAATGTCAAAATGGACTTGAATGGTGCGTCTGGCTTCATCCCAAGGACTTTGTGGGTCTGCATGTGCATCTCTTTTACTTCTACACTTTAGTCAGTTGTGGGCATTTTATCTTTATTTTTTCTATTGCTATGAAATAACTCCAGGAGTTCCCAGCATTACTTACTTTGGTGACCCATTTCTTTTTATCCTCCCATCACAACCAATTTCTGGCTTTGTATTGTGACGTTTTATTTTGGTTGCATGTGTTTCTGAAATGGCAGTGTCAAAAATGTAATGGTCATGTATTTCTTCTATAATGTGATTTCTATTCAGTTCTATTTTCACTTCCAATATCATCTCATTTAGTTTTGTTCCTGAGTTTTATCTGTATTAGTCAATTATTCTGGCTATCTGCTTTTTATAAAATGCCACATGGCCTTTTGACTTGGTGACTAGGAGACAACAAAACCACATACTTGATTGTGTGTACATGAACTGAGTAGATGGTATACAATAGCCATTTGCAATAGACTGGAAAAAAGAGATTGTTCACTGAACACAGTGTCCAGCAATTACTTATACTCAGACTCTGAAGGGATAACATCCTTTATGTGGTTACACTGAATGCATGATGCTAACTGTACTGTGATTCTATAAGATTTAAACTATGTTTTTAAGGGTTGATGTTATTTAACTGAACTATAGTAAGTTAAATTTTTATGTATTAAACCATTGAAAACAAGGTACCTATCTCTACAGAAAAGTACAAACAATAATATATATTCATCTGTGGGTTAGGACAGCTGTTAGCATTATGGTACATATACCTTAAATATTTGAATAAAGAAAAAACATTCAAAATAAAGTTGAAATCCTCCTTTGTCTTCTAGATTCTATCCTTTCTCTTTCTTAGCCTGCAGTATCATTGTAAATGAAAGATGCTCTTAGGCCCCGCCCACTAACTATAAATGTGTACTATTTATGGGTATGCTCTTTAATTTGTCCTATAATTTTGTTTTCTGTTTATCGTACTTTTCCTTTGACTCCTAAAGCTTATTTCTTTTGAGAATTAACCAAAGTATTTTGTTCTACCCACACAGAAGTCATGCTTTTCTGTTCCATTCTGTTTTATTTAATTAGTGAAATAACTTATCTTTGAAAAAATTGAGACTTGTATTGAGATGGAATGATGAGCTTGCTGTTGCCAGGGACACAGCTTGAGCCTACAGATATGATTGTGTGGTGTCATATTTATGTTTTTTTGATCTATGTAACCACTCTTTTATCATGTTTGTCTTCCAGATTTATTCAGGAGATTGAACATGCCCTGGGACTTGGCCCTGCTAAACAGTGTCCTCTTCGAGAGTTTCTCACCATGTATATCAAAACCATCTTCCTTAATCAGGTCTTGGCTGAGATCAACAAGGAGATTGAAGGAGTCACCAAAACATCAGACCCCTTGAAAATCCTAGCTAATGCAGACACCATGAAGGTTCTGGGGGTGCAGAGGCCTCTTCTGCAGGTAGTAAGGAGTACCTCGCACTTTTCTCAATTTTTTAAAAATGTGTTTTTCATGTGTGCATGTCTGTGTATCACTTGTGTGCTTGGTGTCTGCACACCAAGGAGGCCAGGAGAGGGTATTGGATCTCCTGGAACAAATGGTTGTAAGCCACCTGATATGGGTGCTGGGTATCAAACCAAGGTCTTCCAAACTACTGTGTCTACTAGACTATCCCTCTGGCCCCCAAATTACTGTTTTTAATCACCATTTATGACTTGGCAAGAGTCGTAACTTTAAAAAAGAATAATTACCATCTGGTTCTATTCAACAGGGGCAAAACAAAAAGAAATAAATTAAATAGACACTAGGGAAATTTAGGTCTGATATAGTTTAGATAATGGAAATTCCTAAGATCGTGGAGGGAATGAAAAAAGTTTAACTGACTATGGGAGATGGTGAGTCTCATTGACATTCAGGAAACTCTTTACTGTTGGTCTAGAATTTGTCCTTGAAGGAATTGTTTTTCCACTGGTTAATGTACCCCACAGTAGGTAGGATTAGAAGGATGGAAATTAGATTTCCTATGTAACATCAATTACCAGCAGAAAGTCAGTTTTCTGAACAATTTCTTAGGTAGTTATTATAAATAACTAGACTAGCTCAGAGAATTCAAATCAGTAAACTGGTGTTAGAAGTCATATCATTTAATTCAAGTAATGATCTTGTTAATATTAAATGTTTTACTAAAAATATGGTTTGGGAGCAATAGAAATTATCTGACAATAGGTATTTTTGTTTCATAGGCCTATGATATACTTAGACATTATGATAAATAGAAAATGAAAAAATGAGTTCAAGTTATGGGTATATTTTGATAATTAAATTAGTCTTGCTTCAAAAAGAACAGTGAGCAGGGTGTGGTAGCAGAGGCAGTGAATCTTTGTGATTCTGAGGCCAGCCTAGTTCAGATGGTTATTTTCAGACAAGCAAGGGGCTCCATATTGATACTCTGTCTCAAGAAAAGAACAGTGAACACAACACATTGCTCCATAATTACACAGTATAAGGGGCTCAGGGTGTAAAGGCATGAACTCTCAACAGAGCTGTGTACATGGAGGCATTACACTTGTTGCAGTCATCTCTTTGGCCGTGTTCTACCTGAATAGGTTAACATCTGTGCATTAGAATTAAGAGACATGCTAGAACTTTCTCAAGGGGTTATCTAGTTAAAAGTAAACTCTGTGATAAGAAAGAGATGAACTAGAAGTATCATAAGGGGAAGTTGCTCATGTGCACTGTCTGCTGTGTTAGACATGCTCTTGCTGAGGTGTGCAGAGAGAGGATGTCACAGACGTATGTTCACTGTCACTCGCCCTCTGGATTGCTGTTCCACTGATAACAACTGAATCTTAATGGATTGTCTCATGTCAACTGGAAGGCTTTTTCAAGGTGCTATTTATCCAGATCCCTTGTCCTGATTTTTCCCTTCTCCTTCCCCATGTATTTTCAATGCTGAGGCCAACCCCTAGGGAGTGCACCAATAAGGCCATCTTGCCAAGTGGGTTCTACTGTGAAACAGTAGGTTAGAGACGAAAGAGGCTTAATTTTTCCTCTCTACTTTGGATGATAAACCTCAATAGCTGTAGCTCTAGCTCTCTCCAGGCTCTAACAACACTTTCTTCTCCTCACTCCTTGACTTCAGCTTTCTGCTATTACGAGTCTCTGTTTCCTCAACATCCCTAGTTCTTTCCGTCAACACTGAGCATACTTCTGTAAGTTATCTCTTCATTAATATGTCTTCATTTGAATTACCTGAATGAAGCACTTTATATCAGGATCAAAAAAGAATTTTTTTCCTTTGACCAAATTGAACTCTGGACTTTGCACATGCAAGGCCAGCAATTCTACCATTGAGCTATACTACCAAGCCCAACACTGAGTTTGTCCTTTTTTTTTTAACTTTTAATTCAGTCTTTGTGAATTTCACATCATGAACCCCAATCTCACTCATCCCCATCCCTTCATATCTGCCTTCTGCCCTTGCAACCACCCCCCCCAAAAAGAAAATAAAAATTAAGAATAAAAACAACAAAAAAGAAAAAATAACATAAAAAAAGCTTGCTGTGGAAGCTGGGTATGTCATAGTGTGCCACATAGTATAGCCTTTTACCCAAACAGCTTTACTTGCAAATGTTCAGTACAATGAGTCATTAGTATGGTTCGAGGCCTCTGGCTACACTGTCAATACTGGATCCTCATCAGGGCCCCTCACAGAGATCCTGTGTCAGAGAGATCCTGAAGCTTTGGATCTGTAGGACCAGCCCCTTCACATGCTCCAGCAGTTCATGGGGCGGGCCAAGCCAGAGCCCTCAATCTGAGCCTGGATGGTGGCTGTATTGTTCATCTCTCCAAGCTATCCTTCCATGCCACTAGGGCCAGCTCTCCTTCTTTGCCCAGGCAAGTGGTGGGACCAGCTTTCCTGCTTGTAGCAGCTGGAAAGAGGCTGGACAGGCGCTCCCTAACTGACACCATTGGGATCAGCCTACACCCATGCCACCAGGGCCATTTCTCCAGCACTGCCCCAGCTAGGAGCTGGGCCAACTCTTTAATGTTCATGCCTAGCCAAGAGAGCCAGCTCTACTGTGCTACCCAAGCAAGGTGCAGGGCCAGCTCACCCTGGACCTGCTTTCCAGAGTGCTGCGGCTAGGGGGGGGGGGGGGTTCTTCTTGACATTATCCCAGATATCTTGGAGATTATCACAGATACCACTTTTGCTGATTTCCCAGTAGGAGGGAAGTTCCAAGAGCCTGACACATATTGGCAGCTGAAGTAGTCATATATGTTACCAACTGCTTACCTGGGTAGATGGGTCGGTCGATAGTGAATAAACTCAAAATGGGAAAATGAGGAACAAAACAGTGACTGAAACTCATTAGGCTTTCTGATTTTTCTGACCATGAGTTTCTTTCCTATCAGGAAGTCACCCAGTATCTATTATCTTTAAATGTCATGCTATATGATAAAAAGAACAGCTTTATCATGTAGAGTTTAAAGGCAAGATGGGGGAGGGCAACTATGCTGTCAAGTAAGTCTGTGAACTAAAGATTCATCTTATCAAACATCATTTTAAGGTTAAGTAGCAAACACATGTTGGTACTCATAACCCATATTGGGCCATGCATACTGCCAGCTAAAAGTCACCTCTGGGAAGTCCATGATGCACCTGTCAGATCACTCTCAAACTTGTCACCCACCATTTTGTATTAGTAACTGTGTCATTTGTTTTTTAAATCAGTTACTACAGTCTGACCGAGTTATGAATTCTATTTCACCTGTTCTCTTTTCAGTCACATCAAGATGTAATACACATAAGTGAGTAAACCTTAAGACCAAAGCCATTGCAGCTATTAACTTCAAAGTCCGTGCTCAGAGCTACCTGCTTTGTTGTATGGTCATAGTCTTACCTTCAGTGTACAGCAGAATTGTGTGTTTTTCAAGATGCAAAGTGCTGAAGGGTATGGTTATTAAATCTATCTGCTTTTCTCTAGATTATGAGGCTTCCATCCTGAAAAATTCTCTTTATAACAATTTTAAGTTGTATTCTAACATGATTTCTCATGATAAAATTTCTGTTTTTAAAAGATAGTTCCATGTCTACTTGATATTTTTATTTCCAGCTTATTGTAGGTGGCTAATCTGAGAAAAAGTGATAAGTAGGTCTTAAACATATTCACTGAGAACATAAGACATATTAACACGGGAGCAAGGGGCAATATGTAAGAAATACAGGTGGGGCAGTGCTCAGGTACAGGAAGATGAAGAGGTCCCTCTGCTGTGCTGCTCTTGGGACACAGACAAGAGCAGAGCATGTGTTCCTCCCCCGAGGCAGCACCCATGCCATTTGTCATCAGCCCACCTGGTTTTTCCAGGGAAAATGAAGGACAGCTGTCTCGGGCTACTTTCATGAGTTCGATGATGGGCAGATAAAATTCACAGTGTCCTGTGAGGAGAACTGACCACAGGTCAGTCTTGGCCCCTCCAACATGGCATCTGAGCACCCCAGCACCATGTCATGAAGAGACAGATCTGGGGTGCTGGCATGCACTTGCACTGGCAACGTCACTTTCTGAGGTAGATTCCATGGAGGGAAGAAAGGGAGTTAGTAGGAAGGAAAAGAGTGAGCTTCATGTTGTGGGTGAAATACTGTACGAGAGATATCTCTCAAATGACACAGCACAGCAAAATGAGAAGTAATGACAGAAGTGATAGTAGTGTTAACAGTCAGCAGGTAGAGCTCACCATTGCTAGGAGCCAGACATTGTTTATGCCTGCCAGCCTATGTGTGCTTTCCTTGTGTGACAGGATCTCCTTTGATGATCTTATGATAACAATGGGATTAAATTACCTACCCAGTCTTCTGGCTAGCAAAGGGAAGACTAGCTCACACCCAGGAAGTCTAGTCCTGAGCCCTGTGCTCTACAACAGTTTACAATCATAGTCTGAGGACATAGTCAACCACCCAGCTATCTCTGTGCCCCTAGACACATATTTGAGAATGGGCATTTAGATACTTTGATCTTTCTTAAAATTTTGACATTGTCTGTGAATCTAATAAATTGGGGCTTACATCTTATGTATTTCTGGGTTATTAATTTATTTTTCTAGTAACTCATTTTTATTGTATTTCATGAAAATGTATATTCACAACAGATTGTTGGGATGCTGGGATGCCATAGCTAGAGGAGCATTTCTCCAGATTCTTTACTGTCCCATACTGCCACCGAGAGCAAAGAAAAAGACCATCTGCCTCAGCCCTAAAGCGTTTACAACAGAGAGCTGGATGTTCATTACCATTGGTTCTCTCCTAAATTTCTAGTTTCAGAATAGACCTAGAATAATTAGAATATTTAATAATATTTATAAATATTATGTTTTTATTTATTTGTGTGAATGTCTGCACACATGCAGGCCATGATGCGTGTGTGGGGATCAGAGGACCTCTTGCCAAAGTTGCTTCTCCC